ACAGAGAAACTGCGGAAAAAATGTGTTAGGGCCCATCCGCACGGAATAGGGCCTGATTAGGCATGTTGTCAATTCGGGGAGGACCTGAAATAACATGGTCTGGGTCCTCCCCAGAGTAGGACACCTAAGGCCGGCCGTCGGGGTGGTTTTTAGTGGAATCACCAAATACGCCTGGCTCCTGAGTCCCCGAGGAGCAGGAGATCCGAAGGGATTTTCCAACCCGTCAACAAAAAAAAAAAAAGAGGGCACACCGATATTTCATCCCCTTTTTTTTGGCAAAATTCTGTGAATAAATAAATTCACGCGAAAAGAAAAACTGTGATTTAATTCAAATTCAACGCGATACGTTCAATTTATTTCCGCGCGAATAAAAATCTCTCGATGAAATATCCCTTACATTTATGATCAGTTGATGGGAAGTAGTGGAGAAACCATAGGTGTGTTCTTTAGATTATCTTCGTGGTACAGAGAGCAAACGAGCTGATGGGACACCTACATCTCAAGAGTCATCTTCCCTCTCGCTTTTCCTCCCCAGAGTCAGATGGATGTTGAGTGAGTGAGGTTATAGGAGAAGTCCGAATGTCTTAATAAAGCTGTTCCCGGATCCCTCCATTTTAAGGTACAGAATACAGAATGTATCCGAAAAATATAATTAATCTCAACTGCTATTACCTCTGGCTTAGAAATTGATAATCATTAGCCTTTAGCAGTCCACTGGCTGGACATAGGCCTATCCTTAGCACGGAGGTTTTGGTCTACTATACCACGCTGGCCAAAAGCGTTGGTATAGGGTTCGTTTCAAGTTTTCCTACTCTTTGCAGTGCTGTTGTTGTGCATAGTTTGCTCCCTCAGTCGGCTCTTACGACACCTACGGGATAAATAGGGGAGCTGACACTCCGTGATCAATCCGTCACCACACTGTTAGAGATCGATATAGATAAATAGATGGGCACACCATGGTTAGAAACATTCAATGGGGAATATAAACAAACAAAAAACAATGGCGCAATGGGGTGACCTTATAGCAGTCTGCCGACCGAGGCAACCGAGATCCATATTTTTGAATAATGCATTTTATTTACAATTTATCGAAATTTTTACTATGACTACACGTCCGTCGCTCGTTAAAACTGCGGGTCGTGGTTTTCCTCGTACCAAAATGGAACTTAGCTATTTCCAAATTTTGTATTAAACCTCGCTTCAAACATTTCTTACTAAGAAAAAACATTCAGGTACAAAAATATTTAGAATGTTTACTGTTGACGACTTTTAGTTTAAGCCCAACTAATGTATAAGTACTCCACAAGGATAATAAGATGATGAAGTGGAGGTATTTTCTTTTCATTTGAAAAACTGTTTTGCGTTTGCTCTAGCACCGTCGTCATAAGACCTAACTGCTTGTACATTTAGTTTAGAAGATTCTTTATAGAAAAAAATCGCGATTACGTAGTTAATAAAAGAGTACATTAGGAGTGTCTACAAAATATTTCCTTTCATCTTCTTTTATAGATTCATTGGTTTATGTAAGAAACTCATTCTAACAAAAGCTATTAAATTATTAAAACATGACCATACCCATCAAATTACCGTCTAGATTTTCATAAACAAGTTAACGATTAATAAACAAATTAATGACTAACAAAAGACTAAGGAGATACTACTTACAGAAACATCTAAAAATTGTGTTTAGCGCCATCTCTGAATTCTTAACAGAACCATGTCGTCTTTACATCGAAAGACATTAGAGTGCTAGTTTGCTACTCCTACATCTAGATGGCGTACACTACACTATACTGAATAATTCAATTTGTTTTATTGTTATCGTTGTTTTGTGGCGATAACAAAATAAATCAGGCGAATCCTTAAAGTTATGATAACAATAAATAAGAATTTGAAACACAAAATTAGAATTGACCTTGAAAGTAAATAATTACATCAACATAATCTGCATAAAAAATGTTGGATAAAGAGAGCATAAAAAATGTTGGATAAACAAAATAACAAAAACAAAACCGGTACCTTAAACTCACAAGAATAATAATGAAGTCAACAAAGAACATCTTTCTTAAAAAACAAAAAGTTTTATATTCTACAGGCTTTAAGGCAAGCTGTGTGGTGCGTACTAGGGATATAAATTAAATAGTAAAACTAACAGCTTGGAAATTTAAATTAAACCCTCCAAAGTTAGCCAAAAGAGATAGATCTAAGCCCTAAGCATCAAGGTCGCCTTTGTACACTATATTTGGTTTACATTTTGTAATTTTCTGTACAACCCTAGTGTACAAATAAAGTTTTACTTATTTTTATTGTATATTGATTAATATTTAGCAATTTACAAATTGGGATGTTATTTGAACTTGACGTAGTTTATCCAATATTGGGGTGCGGACAGGCAAACTTTGTTTTCTGCACAATGTCTTGTTTCAAGAACCAAAAACTAAAAAGCAATAACATGAAAATAACTTTCAAATAAAAAAAACAAGGCCAACTTTAAATTTGCAGAAATTAGTAACAAAAATAAACAAAAATTTTACGTATGCTAGTGCTTTTAAATGCCCTTTTTTAAAAGGTTATTCAAGAGGGGACACCAAAAAATTTAAGTGCCCCCCTTTGCCTAAAAACAAACTGTTCAAATTAAAATTATTAAAAATAATAGCAAATTTTTCTGTATGAATGTAATTTTATAAAACCCCTATGAGAAAAAACAACTCACGTGGCGATAAAAAACCACCCCACATTGTCATACTTGTTTGAAAAACAGCTGATTAAGAAAAATATTGTCTTTAATAAATGGCCTTTTTTAGGTGTTAGCATGTTTTCAAAAACAAAATAATACCATCCTTTTTAAATAATTTTTTTTTACATTTACTTATGTGAAACTTTCACAAATTTCGCAAGAGATCAAAAAAAAAATGAAAAAGGAATCATGTCAATCTTATGAATAAATCAACAAAACGAAATTAACATGTTTAAATGTCCAAAATTTAACATTTTTTAAACATTCCCCAAATATCGTTAAGTGTGTTAAAAACATGGCCCCAAGATCAAAATAAACATCCCCCCCCGTAAAACAACTGTAAAAAAAGGTATTAACAATTAAAAACCACTTACTTTTTTTGATTTCTTTCCAAAACCGCCATAGCTTCAAAAATCGATATTCATTTTCAAATTTTTCAAAATTATTTCAAGCCCCTTTATAATTATCCAAAATAGAAATGTGTGGATAAATAACAAGGAAATTGGTAATTTTATCAGAAGTTTCTTAGAGATATTTTTACAAACTCGCAAGGCATTTTAATATTTTGGAAATTCTATGAGGCGTTCATTTTAGCGGTTTTTATTATAGAAGGGGAGAATGAGAGGACGATATACATCGATTTATTTAAAAACTCGAGTAAGTAAGATGCATCGTATTAAACCGATGTTTGTTTAAAACTTCAACTCGAATATATACGATGTTTTTTTTCGTTTCACGACCAACAAATTATAAAGAGATAGTGTTTTATAGCCCCCCAAATAGCTATAAATTTTTTTGAACGGGGTTCTTTTAATTCGCCCGTTGGAAAACGCGTAGGTCGTTCGACTCGTATTTGTTTGTTCTGGGAAAAATTTAAAATTAAAATTATTTTTATATGGAAAAAACAGATTATGAATTCGCTTTTAAATAAAACTGCTGAATTGAACGAAGGAACCCCTAAGGGGACGAGATTTAAAAGTTTTTTAAACCTT